ACTTAGTTAATGGTTCATTACATAATATTCAACATCATAAAAAAAGATGTTTCTTTTAGATGCAGAAAATTATTTTAAATCCAATCAAAATAGTTTGGACTCAAAATAAAAAAAGAGTGTTGATAAAACTGAGAAAAATGGAAACAAAAAAAGTTGAACAAAAAAATTATAACGACTTATTTGGAAATTTATAAAGAAAAGGAAAATTGTGTGTGTATAGTCCACTCAGAGATCTTGGTTAGATAGTCATCATCATTCAGAGGAAGTATCTCATCATCGTAGCACAAATTGGACTGAAAATGAGTTTAAATATCACCAGGGTTCGTGGTACAACCAATGTATAGTAAAAAAGCTAAAACAAATGATTTAAACCATATTAGTACATTAATATAGTATAATTATCATAAAATGATAGTTTTTAATTTTGAAAGAAAAAATCAAAACAACTTGTAAAGCATATTATTTTTTAAGATGGGAATTGTTCATCTATTTTTTTGTGTGTTATTGACTGAAGGAATGTATCAGGAGAAAAGAAAATACGTAAAACAGTTCATGCAAAACTATGACAATGAGGTGAATCGACAAATTGAAACAAAAAAAACCTTTTTGGCTAAGTTGACCCACGACGCAATTCAAGGAGACCAATACCCATACTATTTGCAGAAATTGACACAATACGAAGAGGCGCGCCAAAAAAGGTTTTTGGACTTTTTGAGAAAGTACAACACAAAGGAATTTCGATTTGATTTTAAAAAGATGCCAGCAACTAAAATCCAAGACCCCGAAAGACAAGACGCGCTTGGGAAAGTTATGGACTATTACTTTGGAAGGTATAATGGACCAAATGGATATTTGACAAAACACAAACGAGAAATACAAAAGCTGGCACTTAAGGGATTTAGTGAAACTGTTCGAAGCGATGTGCCACTTTTAGTCAAAATTAAGGAGAATGACGGATACTAAATTTTATTGTTTTGTGTTTTTTTTAATTCGTTTGATATTTTTGTACAACGAGTTTTTAAACATAAACTAAGTGTCACAACTGTTAATTTGTTCATTTTTATAATATTATGTTTTGTTTCTTAAGTTCACTCTGTTGTGTTGTTATCAAGAGATTCAAAGATAATTGTTTTTTTTTGTTCTAGTATGATAAATTGTTAATGTTATGCTATATCATCAGTCAAAACCTCGATACAAACAAATTAATTTATGAATCAACACCCAGCATGAAGTCACAACTGGGTATTGAGGCATTAGAAAGGTAAACCAAACCACAATTGTTTTTAATAGTGATATGTTCCATTCTATTTAATTGGTTTTGACTGAGTGATTCTCAGTGTTTATCCCCAAATAAACAATGCCCTCAAGTGTTGTTATATTTTGAATTTTCTGTGATCTTGTTATAATTTTTTATTGTACATTTTAGTGGCAATTTTGGCTTGTTCTTTTCTTTATTATACAATTCAATTGATCTTTGTATATCCTTCTTATCATTTGTCGTCATAAAATGCTTTGTTGATGGCATTTTTGTAACCCGTATAAACCAGTCTAATGAACGTATTGATGTTGTGTACTTCAGTGTTTTATGGTTTTGTATTTATAAATTTTTTTTAATCAATTAAAACGAAAATTCAATCAATTATAAATTTAATTGATTGGTTCATTGAATAAAAGTAAATATAAAAAAATTAACAACAAATTAATATAAAAAATTGTGAATTATATTTTTTAAATGAAAAAATGGATGAGCAGTTTTTATCGAAATAGGACGCTATATTCCCGTGCCGAAATCAAAAGAAATCATGGAGTTGAAATTATTAACAACAATATCGTTACAATAATATGTTGGCATTGTAGACATCAAGAAATTGATTGTTGACAAAAATGAAAGCCAACTTG